CAAATAGACAGGTGGGGATGTCTCGTCCTTCAATTCCATCTTGGACCTAAGACTTTATCCCTTAAAAAAGATAGTCCAAAAAAAACCACCCTGCTTCTAGGTAGAATTTCGAATTTCAGCTTATATGATAAAAATGTCAGCATTTTATAATGACAAGAAAAAGAAAGCTGCAGAAGAAGTCTAGGAATTAAAAAAAAAAAAAAAGAAAGAAAGAAAGAAGAGGATCATTATTGTTATGTCTACAACAGCAGCAGCAATTTGATATCAGTTACAGGATGGAAAATACTATATGGATTAATAAGAAGCAGTAGTCCTGAAATGCAAACTAAACTGATCAAAAATGCAAAGGAAAAGGGTATACAGAGACATAAGTTACATGGAGCATTATGCAGTGATTTAGGTATCTCCCATCGCTTTGCATTTTAAGTAAGGAACACTATTGCTCACTGAAGAAATTGTAAGAGTCACTCCCAAGCCCGATTAACCCCTTCCAAAAACCCAAGACATCCGTGTAGAGCAGACGATCCTTCTAGTGCTGCAGGAGGAGAGCAGTGACCAGGCACAACTGTGGTGGCACAGGACATGTTGGGTGCACTCATCTTGCCCTGGTTGGCAATTGCTGGTTGTGATCATCAGCTTGGCTCCATTTCTAGCTCTTCCAGGTACAAGGAACAAGTGGGGCCATTCCTCTGGTTGACGCAGTGGCCTTTGGAGAGGCGCTGAGCACGGAGGCAAGTATCAGCCTTGTTGCTCATCACGTGCACTTCCAAGATGTCCATTTGCACCTTGCTTTGCCTTCATTAAGCATGATTGGGGCTTTGATTCTGCAGCAAAACTTGAAGTCTGGTGAACACCTCAGTCTTCTGGATTTTATAAAGGGGACATCTCAGCCAGTCTTAGAGTCAATATTGAAAACAGGCTCCTGCTAACCAAACACTGATGCTTTCCCCTAAAAACAGTTAGCAAYGCATACAGAACTGCAGTAAGCAGATACAACCTCTTAATTCAACTTTCAGCACTGTTCACCCCTTAGGATACCCAATACTGTTTCCTTCCAGAGGTAACTACTAGGAGATATCCACACATCTGCCTGGCTTGCAAGGATGTCAGGAGAAAAGTGCTCAACAGAGAGATGCATCTTGCATCACACCCTCAACGCAGGAGGCCTCGGGGCTTTGGCATACCTCTGTGAGGAGCAAATTCCTGCGTCTGGAGCTCTCTGCAGGAACACCCTGTCCTCCAGCACTGGCACACTTAATCCGGAGCCAGCGCTTCCCACCACCCACAATACCGGAGCGATGTAGCGAGTCCTGTTCATATCCAGGCACACCACTGGCAACCAGCTAATGGCTTTGGTGTAGCCCAGCAGCAAAATCAATGGGGTGGGATACAAAAAGCCTTGCGGCTGCGGCGCCCTGGCAAATTTTTCAGTGCTGTAGTTCCCCATCTCTGAAAAAGAAAGTGATTGAAGGCTTGGCACATTTGTAGAGTGTTCTGAGACCTCCAACTGCAGGTCTGAATCCACTTAGTATTTTTCTTTTCAAAACTTAATAAATTGGGATCTGCTGCTATTTCTGGACACAAAATTCAAACATTGATTCTTTAGACCAGTTTTGCAGTCCTCGTGTTTCAATATTCTAGGTGTCCTTGCATAYTGTCTTGTTATAATTCTTTCTTTGTGGTTATCTTCAAGAGATTTATCAGCACAATCCAGATTTTCTTTTGTAAGTCTGAATTCATGATGCAAAATGGCTTTTCAGCTGGACACAATTTTTGGAGGGAGAATTCAATTTTAATTTTTTTTTTTTTTTTATGATTCAATCCAAGAAGAAAACCAAACTCAGCCCTCTTTAAGAGGGGTTGAGGTGAAAAAATGGAAAAAAAAAAAAAAAAGAAAAAAAGAAAACACATTTTCAACAAAATTGGTGCAGTAGAAGCAGGGCTGGTTGGGTCTGGCAGAAGGCTCTGGAATGTCTGAAAGACACAGACGGAAAGTGCCCCAAACCCACCAAGAACCAAATCAGGAAAGCCACAGCTGCTCAGCTCAGGGGTGGGCCCTGTGGCAGGAGGACACTGCAGAAAGTTCCTCACCTGCTCCACATTTCAGTCTTCCTAGAGGTCTTCACAGGGACCRATGAGAGAAGGTATCACAAGAGAGCCAGAAAAGCCTAGTCTGAAAGGCAAGAGGTGGATTCAGAAGTCCCCTGGCTCTTCACATCTGCAGAACCCGCCTCGTGGGTATGAAAGCCCCATGCACAGATGCTAGAAGGGAGATGTTGGTTCACTTTGGGTTGTGGCAGAGGTGACCGTTTGGTTGGTCAGCCCCCACATGCCAGGTGCTGAATATAGCCTATAMCAAGGATGGAGTGCCTCATCCTATCTTCCCGCACCTTCTGCATTTTGAGGATGATTAAGAGAAGAAAGATAATACTATGGCCAGAGGCAAAGACTTGAGGTTAGTATCTGTKTCCTATATCAGGCTGCACTCTTGGGCAAATCATTTAAGCTTCCGTGTTTCCTTGTATGAAAAATTTACATTTTTACATGAGGAAATTACCCTACTTCCTTTCCTCCGTAAATACCTGTCAATGCCATGAGATGGAAGGGATCTCAGTCCCACTGCAAGAGCCTGTAGAGGCTTTTCACTGGACTCTGTAGATAGAGGGTCCCACTGAAATGCAAACATCAGGCCATGCCCAGTTAAACTAGACGCTAGTTCATATACCTTCCATGATCTAATTTTAAGGGACACAAGTAGTCTCTGTGGAAATACCTGCCTGATTCAAAACCTTTTCATTGTACCTGGAAAGGAACTGCAGATTGCCAAGTACTCAGATAACATGAACCTATTGGGAAGTGCTCCGTGACAAGGATGCCTCTGGGCTGCCCAAGGATTTAGAGGTGCTTGAGAGGGACCACCAGTGCTGCAGCCCACTGCTGAGCCCCATCACCCCTTCCTCCGGCAAAGGAAGTGCTCACAGCTGCTGCAGTAAAGCTAAATCCTGTTAAAACTGCTTAGTCTATCCACAAGCTCCGATGGTGAGGCTRGAGGAGCTGAGGTTGGTGCCTGCCCGCAGGAGCTGTCAGATGGGGAGCTCTCATGAAGGAAAAATTCTGCTTTCTGTCTTCTGTTCTTGAAGCTTCCATCAGAAAACCAGATTTATATGTGGTGTATTTAACTAAAACACCAGGTCAATAAATTGATGCCTCTCCACTGAGCCCATTTTTGCTTGCTTAAAGAACCCAGCCCACAAAATCACTTCTGGATCAACTCCTTCCTGGAGGAGACCATGGGGCATTGACCACAACATATCAAAGGAAAGTCACCACTCTTTTGTGAGTCCTGGGCTCATTTTCCAACCAGCCTCCCATTTCAGCTGCAGAAAATYGCTGTTTAAATGTGCAAATACCATTTCTTGTCAGTGTAACAACAAACAATGCACACTTGTGGCTCATTTAATAAAGGGGGCTAATTTACCTCAATTGTCTGCTAAGGCATCATGCAGGTGTTCCATTTCAGAGCGTATTAGTACATGGTGCTCTAAGCCTAAAAGCTAATTTCTAACTTAACCTGATAATGTCGGTAATAATGACCTGTGATTACTGCCTTGTGAATCAGACCCTATGATGCTTAAAATAATTAGCATCAAAGCATAGCTGGTAGCTTGCTAAATTCATTATCAGCCATAAACCAGCAGTAAAGAGCTGAACTTTATACTGAACATTGGTATGTTTGTTTTTTTTTTTTCCCTCAATGGGGGCAGCTTCTCAACAGATTTAATTTAGATAGGTGGTTTAAAGGTTTGTTCACCAATTCTTTCCTCAAAAGAAATAAAAATGGTACACATATAAAATACTGTTTTATTAAAATCAACCAGCTGTTTTAGGTGCTCCCTTCATGACTGTATAGCTCCAGCTAAGGACAAGGAATATAACTGTTGAGGGATGGCAAGTCAATATGTGGCTGAAGAAGGGAGTGCCTGCCATGGGTGGAGCGCATGTCTCACTGGATACAGCCGTGATGGCCTGGGAAAGAGCTACAGGAATTACTGAACCAGAGACCAGTGAAGTCCCTTAACCTCTTAGTTGGCATCACYGTGTGCTTCAGAGGCTAGCGGCAAACAGGTTGGGTTGAGCAAAGTGAGTGTGAGTAATCACTGGCACTGAAGGTTTCTTCACCCCAAGAACTTATCCTAGAAGTTTTCATATTGCTTTTTGATACTCAGCCTTTCCAGCCAGGTCAGATGGATACACAACTGATGGCTGCCTCTAGAAAGGAGATTCCCACTTCTGAGGTGATCATTGGTCATTCTTCCTAAAGGAGACAGGGACATCCTTGTTTTACAAGCAACAGCTCAGACCACTAGGTTCCCTTTAACAGCTAAAGGAGAAGTGAGTATCTTTCCTAAGAAATAATTAACAGAAATGAAGAAAAGAGAAAGGCTTTGGAGTGTAGCTCCCCCACTTTCATACAGTGAGTAGAATTGGTACCAGAGAAGATGCCTGTGAATAGGCTGCAAGTATGGACATGACATCAGACATGACAGGATTAGAAGACCTCGGCTTTCCTCCAAGAACCTCCAGCTTGCCCATGACTGCCACATTTTGCAGCTAACCAGCCTGCTGCTGGTAGCTGCAGATGAGCATTTGATGGCCAACATCTACCACCACAATGCCCTGTGGTGGTGGTGGAGGCCTCCCTCTGCCTCCCAGCGAAGAGATGTCCGCACGGTACCTAAACTGGTCACTGCAGCTTCTCTACTGGCAGCTTCATCTGGGAAACAGAGAAAAAGCAGAAGCCAAGGCTGCCCTAAACTGGCAGGAATTGCCATTACTGTAGGTGTGTCACAGACCAGAACAACCAGAGAGCCAGTCCTTGAGTAATAAACGGCATTTCATGTATTAGTAACACAGAGGATAGCTGCCTTGGTGACAGGTTTGTAGTTGTTATTAATACTTGTTGGGTCCAAGCTGAGACTTGAAGCTCACTCTATGCTTGAACCTTCTCCAGGTGTTCAGATTTCCTGATGGAGCTCTGCCCAGAAAAAAAAAAAAAAAAAAAAAAAAAAAAAGCGTGAAAATGACTTGGAGAAAAGTTTCCTCCACCACATAGGAAAGTTGAAAGAAGAAAATCATTCATTAGAGACACAATGCTCTTAATACCTTGCTCTTGAGCGTTCCCATTCCCCAGAGGAAATAGTGAAAAACATCAGCTTTTGAGTGCAAACCAAATCAAAATCAGGGAAGATGAACTCCCCAAACACACATAAGGATCACGGCTAAGGGACATGGCTAAACACTTTGAAAAATTGGCCTGAGAGCCCACTCACAACAAATCCRAAGTGTAAGATTTCAATTACTATAAAACTGCTACTTAGGCTGCTAAGATGATTTTGRAATTTTGAAATTTTTTTTCTGACACAGTTAAACAAATAATAAAGAAAAAAAAATCAGATATTCTGAAAGGCAGAAGCCTTCAGTCATCTCTTCTTCCTATTTATCCCACCAGCCATATTACCACAGTTTGACAAGAGCAAGTCCCCTAACCCCTGTAAGACCAGTTGGGCTTCAGAACCTGGGAGGAAATTTTATAAGGAAAAAAAAAAGTCTTCTGGAATAATAAGGTCAGAAAACGTTTTCTGTGACTTGATAAAGATCCCCTAGATCATTCCCTGTTTTGTTAGGGCATAGCATTCCCACAGCAGGTCTTGACTGTACTCTAAAACGGTGCTCCTCTCTCACTTGGGTTTGTTAAAGATACTAGAGAAAGTTTTATAAGATTATGAGCATCTTAGCTAATACTAATCTTAGACTATTAGTTTTTTTTGTTGTTTGTTTGTTTCTGCTAATTGTATTTTAGACTATATTTTAAATGTATTGGAAGATTTTTTGCAACCTCACTAAAAACACTAAAATTAATCTGCTTTGCTACTATTCTAAAGAGAGTAAAGTGACTTTGGTAAGCCTACCATATTTCTCCAGGCCTACCATCTTTCTCCATAGCCTACCATGTCCCCCACAAGCAGCTCCTCCCACCTCCCTCCATCCATCCAAGGTGGAGCTTGGAGCCCTTCACCTGCCCTTGCATGTCAGTGAGCAATAAATCTGCAGCTCCCTGCAGGGCTTCAAAACCTCCTGCGAGGGTGGAACAGGAAGAGACTCCAGCAACCCTTTTGCCAGGTATTAGGAGAGATGTGCAGTTGAATRTCTGGCAGAGGTGGGCAGACGTGGGTGCTGAGGAAGAAATGGATGCTCAGAGAAACTCTTGCTGAAAAAGGAGGAAATAAAGAGGTACTAATTAACTACTGCTGTAGGGTGCGTGCTTAGCAAGAATACATACCCTATGAAAACATGACCAGCTACAAATGAAGACCCAGCTTTCCARTCTACCTAAAAGGTGGAAGATCCATGGACGTTTAGGTACTCTGTAGGAAAAGACAAAATCTAGCTCTGACACATTTGGCATCCTCAGTATTGACAGAGCTCCAGTCTTCCTGTAGAAATCTTTGTCTCTTCCATACATACACCTACATCACGACTCACACATAAGGGTCCTTGTCAGTCTTATAGTTCATAACCCCATTCCTATTTTTCCCTATAAAATGATGTAAACTAGAAAATTACCATTTCAAACTTCACAGGATTTTATTCAGTATGAAATGAAACTCATGCATAAATTTTAGCAGAATTTCAGTTAGTGACAGAAACTGTCCACCAAGACTGACTTGCTAGAAAAAGAAAAAATATTCTCCACAAGAGCTACTGCCATGTTGCTAATCTTAATCTTAAAACTTTAAATAGCATGGGAAAAACTGAAACTTAGGCCAAAATCGTCACCTAATGTATCAATAAATAACACCAACAAGTGAGACCTCTTCAAAATGTCTAACAGTTGCCGGTGATGAAAGACCTCCCTGCAACCACCAACCTGTTGTTCCACCTTGCTCTGTATTTAAACACATACAATTCAATGGATATTCTCACAGATCAGTCCGAGGTACCTTCACAGTCTTCTGTGTCCTGTGCTACCTCCTGCCCAGCATTTGAGTCTGCATCTGATCCCAGGGCACGGTGACTCTCCAATATGCCACCCTGGATCAAAGGGGAGATGAGTAGGATCAAACACTTCCCAACCAAACAAGGAGAGGTTGAAGGGCTGCAGAAAATTACAAGGACAATGCAAAAGGGAGGGAGGCAAAAGAGGACCAGACAAAGCACTGCAGCTCTCTGGGCTACACCTCCCTCCTGGGACTGCCTCAAAGCACTCAGGCACCTCTCTCCACTTAATCTGTCAGCTCTCGGTTGACCTTCAAATCACCTGGTATGAAAACTGTTGCCACCTTTTTTGGAAAACTATTTTGATGGCTACGTGCCATGATTATAGTCAAAATGACTCTTAGAGAATCCTCTCAGGTGCATCACGGATTCACAAGGAAACCTGTTGATTGACCTTTCATTGCATAACACAGCCAACCTTACAACCTGAAATGAACCTAGCTGTTTGACCAGAGCAGTCTCCTGCACTGAACCAGACCTAACTATTCTGTGGCTTGGTTCTGCTCTTAGTTTCGGTACTCAGCAAGCTGAAAGGACTAGGGAATTTCTCCATATTGCTTACAAGCTTCCATCAAAACAACTGTAAATGAGTTATGTTTCAAGTATGCAAGAGCTTGCTTCACCATGCCAAAAAACGATTAGTGTTCTCAAGCTTCCAGCAATGCAAAGCAGAGTCTGAAACGTCCTGATGAGAGATATATGCATTTCCTCTTAGACAATTAATATTAGGGGTGGGTTTTATTGCTATTCTTTTTTATGTTGTTAACATCCTGCCCTCTTTCCTGGTTCCTCCCAAAGAGCTACAATGCAATTTGCAAAACTCCCCTTTGTAACATGTAAACATTTACTAAACATTGTCTTTCCACTTTGTATTATGACAAAAGAAYACAAGTCAAGATGTTAAATATATTTCTGCATTTGCATCTGGAAGCCCCAGGCCTTCCTGAACATACTTTTAGATAACTTCCATTGTTTCAGGCACATTACCTTTCTGTGCATCATCATGTCCATAAAAGCCCGGAGGCAAAGTCTTTGCTCAAATGCCACAAAAAACCTGCTTACTACCCACTGCCTTGCAATTATATTAATGCCCTATGATGACCATCTATATTCTTTCACCTCATTATATATTCCTGAGGATATTCCTGCGAATAACCTAACCTGGCTCTCAAGCTCACCACTGAGGATCTGAAAACGAGTGGCCAGCACATCATGCTTATTTTTCCAATGTACTTACGGCTAAAACAGAGGTTTAAATGTCTGCAGAGGTCGTTCCTAGAGCCRTCATAGGCTTTAGCAGCAAAGCTTTGGGTGATGAGAGTTATACAGCTGGCTCTGGGGGGCAGAAAGCACCATCCAAATCAGTCTGAAGCCGCTTTGCTGGACTGGCACAGCCAGGGGAGCAGGTCTGCATGGTGCCCAGGCAGCCGCCGAGGTGGGCGAGCTGCTGGCCAGGCTAACCCTGCACCTCGCATGCAAACCTTCAGCAAGCCAAAAACTCCCCCGAGTTTTCTCTGAGGCCAGAAACACCTGGAAGCGCTTCAATCACTTGCCTCACGTCTCTGCTAGATAGAAATCCAGTGGCTTCATCAACCCCGCGTTTGCCAAAGTCTTTACTAATGAAAACAAGACCTTAAGCCTAGTTTGACAATGCATGGAGTATCCTAAGCCACCTTTTCCATCTTGGTAAGTGCCTCTCCATGGTCCCATGCTAGCCTTGGCCATCTTGCCAACATGCAGCAGCAGATGCATGTGGATCTCGTTTTCTCCCCTTTGGGGGCTTACTTCTCTCTCTGCTTGCTCTAAACATGCTCCTAGATTTTGCAGGTGATAAGAAAGAAAAAGCATTATTTTCATTCACATTGTGGCATTCTCCCAGCCCTTACAATAAAAGTGGTTTTCAGAATTTCTTCTTTTACACGTGGGAGCAAATGCTTTCCTTTCATTTGTTGCTTCACTCATATGTGTGTGTGTGTGTGTGTGTGTGTGTGTGTGTGTGTGTGTGTATACACGTGCACTTACGCACATGTGCATTTTTTTTGCATGAGTAAAGAGCATAGCTTACCCCACCACACAGATATACATGCGTACGTACACAAATACTTTGAGGGCAATTACCTAGAAAATTTCCAGTTGAAAAATTCCAGCACGACAATCCCAAATAGTGGAGTATAAGGACTGACTTGCTAATACTTGCTAATACAGACCTGATTTTGAGAATGTGGATTTGTAAAACTAATTGCCACAATGGAGTGATGTTTTTGAAGATTTCTCTTTCCTAGGGCCTGGGAAGGGTTTCAGCACAACCCCGCTGACACCTTTTCAGAATGCTGCCATGTGCACAAGGGCCATACTAGCAAAATTTTTGGAGGGAGGTGGGGCTGTTTGTTTGTTTTAAATAGCCTGTTAACCTCCTTGGCTGCTGCCGACGCAGCCTTGGGGCCAATCCTGCAAACACCTTGGGTATTGTTCAGAGCAGTCGCTTTTGCACCTGCCAGGAAATTTGTAAGATCAGAGACTCAGATCCATCTCTTGCAACCGCTTTGCCTTCCTGGGGCCTCCCCCAGAGTGGCTGGCTAGGTAGGATTAGGCTCTTGCTTTGGAAGTTCATTATGTGATCTCTGTTTCTTTCAGTCTTGCCAGCCAGGGCTTACCTCCAGATGAGTATTTCAGCACGTGCTTAACCTTAAGCAATGAGATACTCATGCTTAAAGTTAAGTATAGGCTTAAAAATTTTGTTGGAAGAAAATCACAAGCACATTCTTACATATTTTTCTGGGCTGGGCCTAACCATAGTTCTCCTGTTAAAACAGTCTTTTTCCAACACTTATCCCATCACTGTAATTTCCCTCTTCAATAACACTCTCTAACTGCTTCATTCCAGGGAAACCGAAGGGAAATGACATTTTCTTCTATGGCAAGTAAATTGTAATCGACAACAAACCATTAGATCACCCATAGCTCGGCAGGAGGAGGCAAWATCTTTTATGCAGACCAACCGGTCCAGACAGCATGGATGGGTTTGTCCAAGGCACAGCTCTCCCTAAAATCTCTCTCTTCCTCCTGTATCTAGTATTCTGGAAGCGCGGCACTACTTGGCTGCACAGGTTTCTTTTTTAGCAGGGTTTTGTGGAAGGAAAGGGATCTGTTCCGGTAAGCTTGGAGGAAGCCAAAAGGAATGCAGCCGAGTGCCTTCCCCAAACGCCAAGCAGGGAGTTAATATCCTTGCACACGAGCCATTTCACCTACAGCAAGAAGTGAAAGCATGCGACTACACCCAGCAAGTGATCACAGAGCACCCTGCAGGGAATTTGCTTCCATTTCAAAGGCAGAGATCAAAACCCCAAAGAAGGGGAGGGAGGAAAAAAAAAGAAAGAAAGAAGGAAAGAAGGAAAGAAGGAAAGAAAAAAAGAAAAAAAGAAAAAAAGAAAAAAAGAAAAAAAGAAAAAAGAAAAAAAGAAAAAAAAAGAAAAAAAGAAAAAAAAGAAAAAAAAGAAAAAAAAAGAAAAAAAGAAAGATGCTCCCAGCTTGTGCATGAGATCAGTGTTGGGCCCAGGCTCAGAAGTTTTCTGGGAGGAAGGGAGATATGGAGAGAAGAATTATTTCTGATTCTGATTATTCTGATTATTTCTGCGCCGGGGGTTTGATGATGCATATGGACAAATACAGCAGGTTTGCCACCAACTGCAGGGGAAGCACAAACAAGTCCCGTCACCCTGAGGTTTACTGGCTGGCTGCAGAAAGTCTTGAAATTTATACAGAAATTAAGCAGAGGATAATCTGACAATTTAACAGTGATGTCGTGGTTTTCACATTAAAAGAGACACAAAGTTACCCTTKGGGTCCTATGATATGTGTTTTGCCTCAGGATATGTTTTTTTTTTCTAATCTCCAATTTCAAGGAAAGTCTAGTAAAAGTGGGATGTTCATGTACATAAGGAAATATCTTTCACTTATGGCTCGGTAATTTAAAGCAGTTGACATTAGTTGATGGCAGCAAAATTAGCCATCAGAGAAGCACTCCACGCTTGGGCTGAAAAACAAGAAAGGTTTTCCCAGTGGCCAGCTGTACCAAATAGGGCATTTGCTCATGAGAAATGACTTTAAATATGTGAAATGGAGCTTAAAATATAAATATGTATTGTAATATCTGTGATTAAAGCCTGTGTTGGAGATCTATCAGCCGGAGAAAGAACAAGGATCTGCCCAGATTAGCAGAGTCCAGCTCAGGACTCTGTAGCTCCTTGGGAAGCCCAGGCTGCAGCTGGTGTGGAAATACCAGGCTGCTGCAAGACTCCCCAGTCCTCTAGTCATCCTGGACATTTAATTATGAAATTAATCCATCGTCT